CAGAGATGTGTATAAGAGACAGATGAAATGTTTATGTCAGGTTATGGTTAGGTGTCAGCTGTACAACCCGAAAAAATGTAATTTTTTAATTTTTTCCGATTTTACTACAACTTCGACGTTTAACACCACAATTTCATGTCTATTTCAATCCTGTAAAAGGATTTTCAATTCCGTTCAGCCAATTCGGAGAAATCTACTAAACTGTAATGTGTCGGTATTTTCTACCTTCCGGCATCATCTTAAATATTAAGGGGATCCTAAACCCGAAATCAAACTCCAAAAATTCGCTGTTTTATCGACGATTTGTGAGTATGTATGCGTGCAATATTGATGTAGTAGTGTGTAGTGATGTGTTCATATTTACTACCATATCGATATCTCACGCACACATCGTAACAAATTTTCACGAACGTACATCTTTTTTATTAGGCATCCAAGCCTAATTTTATGAACTCTACATTGTTTGCACATGTAATTCGTAGGTCCGGCTGGTATTATTTTGTACCAACAAACTGCCAAATTTTTGTACGAAGCAAATATTGGCACACGTACACAACTTTAGACGCCATATTGGACCAAGAAAAGATAACGGAGATCTAAATTTCTTAATTTTTCTTCGTTCTCAGCGTAATCTCTACCAGCCGGAATTACATTGATGCCTATACTTTAATCGTGGAGAAGGATTTTTTAATCTGTTGCCTTTAATTATGTTTATTATGTATTGGAAAATAATCACGTTCGGTTGATAAAACAGACGACTTTAGGATCGCCTTAATATTAAATCCATATACCTACATCAAAAAAACATATTGCTGAAAATATTTATAAAGTTAACAGTACAATTTTTCATCATGGAAACATAAACGATGAACGCATTACACAAATATATTGCAAACTAAAGGTATGTACAAAATAAATATTTGTAAATGATTTAAAAGTTGAGATATGTAGTCAATAACCTCAAAATGATAAGAGTGCATACATATTTTTTTTAGAACAAATAAATAAATATAAAAATTAAATCAATAAATTATTGAAATTGATAGAAAGTACATTAAATTAAATTAAGGCGATGCTGGAATACCGACATTTGCATTCTATAAAGGGATAATTCCGAAACGACTGAATAGATTTGAAAACGCTTTTACAGGATTGAAATAGACATAAAATATAAGCGCGCTAGATATATATGAATAGTAAAAACAAAAAAATATTAAAAAATTACCTTTTTTGGGGATCATAACTTGTCACTTGACGTAAACATTTTATTGGTACAAAAGTTCTGCAGCTCATATGTATGTACAAAATAACTAGCTCGCGCGCATCGGATTACTTGCACGAATAATACAAGAACTTTTGAGTTACGATTGGAAGTGTAGAAAAAGAAATATCCATACGAATGCAATTTGTGATAATTTGTATGCTCAGCTAAGGTAAAGACAGCAAAAATTGCGTCTGGCAGTAAGTGCCAGATTTTCCAAGAGATGACACTTCAATAAGTTAGATAAGGACATTTCACGTGTTGAGTGAGACCAGATGATATATTGTAAGAAGTTCATATTTAGACTTTAGAGATACCACTGATGACACTGAAGAGTGCTTTATCGACCTCGTGCAAATTTTTCCAACCCAGTATAATCTGCACTTATAATTATAGTATCTCGTCGATATAAACAGAGAGGATCCGAGAGCGGACATACCGGCCTTTTGGCTGTAACGCTAAAATGCCCTCGCGCACTATCGCCCTCTGAAGAAGTGGATCCAAATTACATAGCAAAATCAAGATTTCTGCACAATTTGTGGTGCGTGTCTGTACTAAATCCACTTTTCAAGTCTGCTGGAGCTTTATTCTCGAAAAATTACGCATTAGAAGTATATTTCCTTACTTTCTAATGCGTAATTTTTCGAAAATAAAGCTCCAGCCGACTCGAAAAGTGGATTTAGTACGGACACGCACCACAAATTGTGCAGAAATCTTGATTTTGCTATATAATTTGGATATATTTCTTCAGAGGGCGATAGTGCTCGAGGACAATTTTAGCCAAAAAGCCGGCTGTCCGCTCTCGGATCCTCTCTGATCCCGTTTGCGGTGCAGATAAAATATATCTTATCTACCGACGCTAATTGTAAGTACCTACTAATATCAACGAACAAATTCAATCGGCATCGGCAAGAGGCCGCCACAATACTAATCTCGCTCCGGGCTCCGGGAGAGAAATCCCTTCCGCTTCCTCCCCCCGCGCGTCCCTAGCCGAAGGGCGGCGCGCGCTACGGCTTGCGCATGATGTCATGTCAGTCACTCTGGCGCACCGTTACGAGGTGAGGAGGTGAAACGTCGCCTCCCCCGTCGCCGCTGCCGCCGCCGCCGCCGTCGTCGTCGTCGTCGTCATCGTCATCGTCGTCGTCGTCGTCGTCGTCGTCGCGCGAGAGCGAGCGCTCGTCGTCCGGTGACCGGTCTGTGATCGTCGTCGTCGTCAGTTAGCATTGCACCGTGAAGCACAGTGAAGCGCAGCACCGTCGGCCGCTCGTGCGAGCGCGATACACGCGTGATACACGTAGCGCCGTGAGAATCCTCGCCGATCCACGACGCTCCGTTCCGCGTCGCGCCGCGCCGCGCCGCATCGCTGTGCCGTGCTGTGCCCGCGCCGCGGACACGCGTTTTCTCGTGCGCGCTGCTACACGTAGAGCGTAATGATCGAGTGAACGCGCGGGCGAAGCGCCGCGGCACACGGGGCCGTCACTCCTGCCGACGACAATCGCGGCGACGCGCATCCTCCCGCGCGGAGGCCAGGATCATGGAAGGCCTGTGAGGGCGGCATCGCGGAAACCGGGGAAACCCCGGGGTTAAGGGGGGTGGTGGCCAGACCAGTGCGAGAGGGAGCGAGGACGACGCCGGACGCAGGAAGCGCGTGTTACAAGAGGTGGGGTAGCGGCGGAAGAGGGGGGGGCTTGGCCGCTGTGTGACCACCGGGACTCGGGAGAGAATGAATCTACGGTACTAAGATTCCTGTAGAATCTTGACAACCAGAGGCAAAAGAAGACTCGGGAGAGCGGAAGGCGAGAGCGTCGGCGGCTACCTAACTAACGCCGACGCGCAACAACACCCGCACGCCCGCCCCGTCCGTGAACGTCCACCCGACCGGGCTGTCACCCGACCGCCATGTTATCCTGGAGCGGCGGTGTTATGTTGCTGGCGCCGCTGCTTCTGTGCCTCCTCGTGCTCGGCGCGGCCGGCGTCGACGAGTCCGGTGAGTCCGAATCCCGCGAGAGGGTATGTACACGCCTCCTCTCGGGGAGTAAAGGGAAAGGGCCGAGGGGGACGGCGGGACGAGGGGGGGAAAGGTGCAACGAGGCGCGCCGGGACGCGCCTCCGCGCGCACGAGCATCCATAGATGCTCGTTTTAATCGCATATTATTTTGACGCTCCGTTCACACAGTCGAGAGTGAAGATACGGCGATAGGGAGAGGCAGGGCAAACGCTCGCCGATTTCTCGTTTGCGAGGTGCGCCGCTACGAGCGAGAAAAAAATCAGCAAGAACGATCGTGAGCGACGCGATTTTTTCAGATTGATTTTTTTTTGTTGCATTGGAGAAGGTGGAAATGCGAGATGATAACGTTTCGGAGTTGAATTTCGATGACGGGTACGTGACGGATCGGCGGCGCCCGAGATCTTTCGCGGAGTCCTTTTTTAGAGAGATTTTTTTGTTAACTATCGCATCGCAAATATGTATTATGTATATCCGAGGAGAAGCGGAATTTTGAGAACCGCGCCGGGAAAGAGCACGTGGAAAATCGCGCGCCGTGCGATCGATCGAACGTGTGCGGCGGCTGGAGCTCGTCGGGCAGTAATACGAAGAGATTACGAGCCCGGCGCTTCTCCGTACAAAATGCGGTAAAGGAATTGATTTGAACATATCCAAAAGAGACTTTCTATATATTCGGATTATCGGAGGTTGAATGTCATATTATACAAAAATAACATTTTATTTATCATTCCTGTTACTTTTGCTATTTTATTTTTGTCTTCTTATTTATTTTTTCTTCACAAATTTGAGATTTAACAAGGAGGATTATAGAGAATTTCGAGGAGAATTGAAATCCCGGATTTCGAGATCAAGCACTGAAAAAAGTAATCTTGCAATTATAGCGAGAATTATTTAGGTATACGAAAAATTAGCCAAAACGGATAAGTGATTAGTAAGCACTGCGATACCACATATGTTTTGTATTTAATCAATATAGATAACAGAGACAGAAATTATGTCTGAACTATTTGTCAAATTTAGCAAAAAAGTTTCTCTATGCCGTTTAATCAGTCCAGACTCCAATCCAGACTCCAATCATATTTAATTATGAAACCTATATTTTCTTGCATATATTCTTAGAATATTGCTGCTAAAAATTCTACGTATGACAGACAATTTTTTAGCAGATACAAAAAACAGCGATATAATTTAAGTGTAACATTTAGAATTCTAGCTGGAACAGCTAGAAAACATTTCCCTGAGTGCGCGGTATATAATTCAAAATCCGGCGTCTAGAAATTTGAAAGGTTCGCATTGATTTTGAGATCTTCTATTGAGGATATAGCCATTAAGCGGCGGTATACTCTGGATCCTCCTGGTTCAGGTAAACCGTCGCGAATTCCCTCGTTTCTCGAAACGAGGAAAGCGTGACTGGTGCCATTGTTCAACCCGACAGAGATAACTCGCCTGTGACTAAAACGGATGACGGGACTTGTCTCACTTCGTCGAAAGACCCAATTCCAGCTAAACGCAAAATGCCGCCATCCACTCGGTGTCCACGATCTTGGCCCGAGCATCGCTCGGAATCTGTACGCGGTCCGTCCGCGACCCGTTTTCCCGCGTGGCATTGGCAATTAAGCCGGTCGAAATTATAATCGTCCACTCGGTGACGTTTACGTCACCCGGCGTCAACGACGTGCCAGGTGGTTGTCGAGAAAGAGAGAAAGACAGAGGAGAATAGAGGAGTCGTCGTTTAATTCCGCCGCGAGAATCCACTTTGTCGCTCGCGGATGAAAATAACTGCTCGCGCAGATACTCGCGAATTGGATAATGCGGCATTGAACTGGTTTAGAATGTATATATTTATACGGGCTGCGTGTGGTAATAGGCGTCGACTGCTTTCGACGTGACGAACGACGCGAGAGAAACGATCCTTTCCTTAAAAAACATTTTCGAATATCGAATATCTGCTTTCGAGTATTTATCACTGATCGCCGAGAGCTCTCAATTTACGAATCACACTGTAGAGGTAGATAATGAGGATTTAATCTTTGTGGTAATTTTATAGATAAGCCTTGTCTTGGCAGAATCTCGATCTCGATGCGCATCAATCGGGATGATGAATTTCGAAACTTCGAAAGACTGTCGAGAAGACACGTGCCGTTCGATTAAATTTTAGATAAGGAAGGAATCGATCTATTCGTCGAATTGCGTATATTATCGCACGTATACGGTCACGTTATCATTCACCATTGATCGTGTATTTGTATGTATGATCATATTAATCCACATATAACCGTACCGCTAAAACCACATATACATACGTATGTAGTTACATATGTATATATATTTGCGGATATGCGAGTGTCTGTAGGCAGATGCGTGTTGCAAGGTCCGTATAGGTATACGCATGCATGCGTGTGCGTGAAGCACGCGGGGGCGGTCGTTGGCATTGGACATGACACATTGTGGAAATAACTCAGCGAGAGGAGTGAATCCGCCACTTATGATGTTTTCCTTCGTTTTGCAGAATTATACGAGGAATTCTTGATTAAGAGAGAGAGAGAGAGAGAGAGAGAGAGAGAAATGTGATTTAAAACGTTTCTCAGGAGAATGTTGTTTTTGGCCTTTCCTCGACTCGGCTTGGTACCGCGACATTTTATAAAGAAATAAAAAGTATTTATATTATAACTTTTGAAAAAAGAATGCAAGAAAAATAAATAACGGAATTACGAGTGAAATAAAACCTGCACGTGGACGGAGATTCGAATAGGAATAGAAACGACAGGAATTCGTCAATTAAAAAGAGCACGCGTTCGCTCGTCCATTTTTTTTCTATTCATCGAAAATGTACAGTTGCCGAACGGTCGGCCGAGCTATGCTAAATTTGATTTCATTGATCGCGCCAGAATAGCGTATCGGAATTAAAGGTGTCCGATTCTCTGATGTAACCGCGAATTCGATAGCATATCGCGCGAATTCTCGTGAAATTCATCGATTATGCCAAAGATAAATTCCATGTCGCCCAAAATTAAGATCTTGCGTTTCGTTTTGAAGATGAATTTTATTTCGTTGTTTGCATCTACGTAAATAGATAATGAAAACGATGAAACGGAAAAAAAAGAATTGATCGTGAAATTCATCGATTATCGTCAAAGATAAATTCTATGTCGCCCAAAATTAAGATCTTGCGTTTCGTTTTGAAGACGAATTTTATTTCGTTGTTTGCATCTACGTAAATAGATAATGAAAATAGTCTGATATTTCCCACTAAACATTTAAATGTAAAGCGTGATAGCTGTGATTCTAATTAGTCTCATTGTCAGTAAAATTCGGCAATCACAAATGAGTGGACATCGAAATGTTCATAATGAATATTCTAGTGAGCCCTAAGCAATATGGGAATAGATAATGGAAACGATGAAACGAAAAAAAAGAATTGATCGTGAAATTCATCGATTATCGTCAAAGATAAATTCTATGTCGCCCAAAATTAAGATCTTGCGTCTTTCGTTTTAAAGACGAATTTTATTCCGCTGTTTGCATTTACTAAGTAGTAAATAGATAATGAAAACAATAACGAAAAAAAAAGAATCAATAACGAAAAACGATGTGTTTTCTTGCGTTAGGTATAGATAAACCGGCAGCACCATCACCACCACCACCACCAGCAGCAGCAGCAGAGACGAAGTCCGAGCGGGGCGCATTGTTGCATATTCGATCGTCGCAGATTATTGAGGGAATCGAGGCGGGCAGCACACCGTCGATATTATGCAAACTCAACGTGCCGGGTCAGGTCTGGTGGAGCACCGACGGCAGGAATCTCACTACCATCAAGGATTTCGAGTACGGCGGACGACTCGACATAAAGAAGGCCAGCAGAAATGACACGGGCGACTACAAGTGCTCCGCGCAGACTGCCGACGGTGAATTCCTCGAGAAAAACATTCATATCAGAGTGATAGGTACGCAGCGACGAGCTAATTTAAATGCCTTATCTCCGTTATGCGATACGCGTATTTCGGATTTCACGGATAACACTCTTTTTCTCTCATATATTATTGTTAAGCGATAAAAAGACTCGAAAATCGGCTTGGCTGTTTGGATGTTTCGGACGGTCTCTCTTGTTAATACGACGTTTCTCATCGTTTTCCAGAACCCGGCAAGATAGCATCCGGCGGGAACGTGAGGGCGAAGGTATCGGAAGCGGCCAACTTGACGTGCCACATACACGGTTATCCGCTTTCCCAGTTTATCTGGTTGAAAGGGAACGATTCGGAAAGCAGCGAGCATCTGAAGGACCTCACCGTCGTCGCGCAGATAAACGAGACTTACGCCATTCTGGTCCTGGAATTCAAGAGTCTGACGCGAAAGGACAACGGCACGTATGTGTGCCTGGCGAACGATTACAACGGGATAGTGAGCGCCTCGACGCACTTATTCGTCACCGATGTGCCGAAAGTCAGCATAGATTTCATGAAGGCGGTCGGAGCTAACAGTATATTTCTAAATTGGACCGTCAATGACGGTAACGAGCCGATCAAGAACTACTTCGTCCAGCACATGAAGAACGGCACGGATCAACGCCAGTACTACGCCGAGCAGATTGGCGGCGGTAATTCGAGTTACGTTCTCAAGGGATTTGAGAGCGGCACCGCGTACCAAATCGGTATCAGCGCTATGAATGCGCTAGGCACGTCACACATGCAATTAGATCCACGATGGATTACCACACTTGAGAAAGGTAATTAAAAAAAAAGTCGGCAAATTCCTCCTATCATTTCCGTCTTTCTTAATTCAACTTAAAAAATAAATTTAACCTTCGGTTGTCACACTTGACAAAATGACCCCCAGCTTTTTATTTTGGGTATGAATTTTTTCAAAACATACTTTTTTTAAAGAATTTTTGTCAATATGATGCCACTTTAATTTTAAATTCTATGCAATCGGGAATACATTCTACAACGTTCAAATTCTATTTAAGAATTTTTGCGATCCAATTAAACTGTTTTTACGGCAGCCTTTTAAAAATTGGTTTGACAAATTGATCCCAAATGATAAACTTGATTGAAAAAAAGGTGTGAAAACTGAAGGTTAAAAATAAACTTAAGAATGAAAAAGAATTATAAATTTTAGTCTAACAATGTAGAATTTGTAATTAAAAGAATTATTGTAGAATAACTTAAAAATTATTTAGCACATGGACGTTAAATAATTATCTTTACAATTTGGCGTTTGATTTCCACGGCAAGAAAAAAAACCTTGCTTAACAATCTTTGACATTGCTGGCATATATTTAAAACTTATTTTATTATTTTATTTAATATAGCATAAAAAATGCATTACAGATCCGATATTTGTGCCGAAAGTGTCCGTGAAAGGCGTGACAGAGAATTCGATCACGATAGGCTGGACCGTGCCGCCGCCGGATTTGAAAGAACACGTGCACTATTATAATCTGATGGCCACTCACGCCGATCAGAAGAGAGAAGCGGTGTCCGCCCAGCCGTTTCCCCAGCCCATTGTGTACGCGTTCGTGGATCTCGATCCGGCGACCACGTACAAATTCAAGATAGCCGCCTGCAGCGAATACACGAAACAATGCGGCAATTGGAGTGTCGAAGTAAACGGCACTACTCTGGATGGTGGTAAGTCGGCGCGCATTGCGTGAGGAAAAATGTATTTCACATACGATAAACATTCACTCGGATTTATTCATACTTTAATTAACTCCCGCTTTGAGTTTGTGATATATTTTGATTAAGACACACTGTGTGTGTGTATGCATGCGTGTGCGCGCGCGCGCGTGTGTGTGTGCGTGTGTCATGTGTGCGTGAGATGATTCGAAGAGGACCCGAAACGTTTGGATACTTTATTTTTTTAATTTGTATGTAAAATCTCGTTACTATTAAAGAAATAATTTGCGCCTCAATAACTGCGCTTGACTCTCATTTGCCCGTTTTTATTTGCCAATTTGATAAATATTCAATTGTTCTTCCAGTGGCCAGTCCTCCGAAGAATCTCGTCGTTATTTGCCGCTACGACAATATAAGCAGCTTCAGCTTCATGTCCATCACGTGGAAACCCCCGGAGAAGCCAAACGGTATTATACAGCGCTACAATATACAATTGAACGGCGTGGCGAGATTCAAGAACGACATGGGACGTCTGGATGTGCATAGTTTCGAACCGCCCAGCTGGAGTGTTTATAACAGGAACAGCACGCACTACAATAAGATACCTCCCAATACAAATTATACGGTATATAGCCAAATTACTCAAACTTAAATTCATCCTTCCATTCGTCATTTGTGTTAGAATATTTTCTCATTTAATTAGAATAATTTTATACAACATTTCTATGACACGGTGTGTGGCAATCGTGTGTCGAGAGAGTTGTGCGTTTGTTTTCTACGTCAAAGATTTAAATTTGGCCAAAAAACATCGGGTTTTATTCTCTCGGAAGGCAATGTCAAATCACCACGAGTATCCTTGCCATGAGAATCCCCTAATAGGCTTTTTGAAACCGGCATTAAACTGTCTTATACATCTGCTATAAAAAAAGCGTATATTACAGACATTTGCAACTTATTATAAGCTAGGATTGGGCAGTGAACTAGTGTCTTATTTTCGTAAAAATGAAAATATTAAACCTTCAAGGAAGAAAGTTAATCTTGACTTGGACTATTGCGTTATTAATTAATTGAATTTCTAACTTGAGATTATCGCATGCAAGCCTAATAATATCGAGCGAATTTCCGTACTAAGAATAAACATTTGTTCGAAGGTTCGGGTGCACGGAGTGACGAGGTCTCGCGCTTCTGGCAAGGACGCCATAGGGAACTGCACGACGCCGGTCGCGATACCGGATCGCGAGAACATGAACATGCGCAGCTGGCGGAAGATCGAGAGCCAGGGTAGGCAGCTGTTCAAGCTCTATCTACCGCGCATCTCCGAGCGGAACGGCCCGATCTGCTGCTACCGCGTCTACCTGGTGAAGCTACCGCCGCACAAGATGGTCGGCGATCTGCCGCCACCGGAGGAGATCGCGGTGTACTCCTATCAATACGTGCACAACTCGCCTACCGGTGGTGCTTACATCGCCGAGACGTTCAACAGCGATCAGTTGTTGACCGAGATCTTCCTCGGCGACGGCGAGTCGTCTAATGATCGTGTTATGTGCGAAAAGTGCGTCGGTCTGCGACCCAAACCGGCGCCGCCGTTGTTACACTTTGTCCCGGAAATCCCGTCGACCACCGTCGCAACTTCGAGCAGTAACACGAGTAGTACCGTTACCAGCACGACGGTAACTACATCGACTATGCCGATGACAACGGTGAGTGGCGGCAACGGTAACAGTACGACCACCAGCCCGTTTACTACATCAACGACGACCGTTGCCAACACCGTGAAAATCGACACGACCACGGCCGTGCCTGTGATTGTTAATGCCACGGAAAAAGCGGAGAGGCGGAAGAGGGAAGACGCGCCGTTGCAAAAGGCATCCGTAGACGAATCTGGAGAACTCAGTATGTTGTCATCTTATGACGGTTTTCTTGACGAAACGTCGAACTACACTGGTTTCATCGAAGTTATCGGTACGTACGATTGCTATAAAAAGTTGTGGAATACTTTAAATAATTTATATGCATTGGATGACGGTTGACTTTTTGCAGTGTTTGATAACGAAAAGAATCAGCATCTACCGGCTTACAGCAGTTACTTCCATCCTCTTTACGGCGGAGTGGATCCTCTCAGCGTGACGGCCGCGGAAGCGACTACTATCAGAGAAATGATAATACAGCTCTTCATCGCCCTGATTTTAACTCTTACAATTCTGTTTATCGCGCTCTGCGTGTTATATAGATTTACGAAACGTGCGCAAGAGAGGGAGGAAGTTATAACGCTGCGTAATAGTTTTAGGTGAGTTTTAAGAAAACTACGATAATTTTTTTTTAAAGGGAAGATGTTTATATAAATATTTTATTACATGAATTATTTTAATAATGTAACAGATTTTGCATTCTTTTTAATGCAAAAATAGACGCTGTTTGTTTTAATAATCGCATTTTTTAAAGATTTCTCTTTTTGTTAAATAAAAGCTGTTATTATAGAAACATAATAGAATACATATATAAAAAACATAAAAATACATTTATGTTTTTATGTAAAATTATACAATTTCTCATATTTATTAATATTAATATCTTATCATAATGTTTGAAAAACGCAGTGTTTACTTAAAAGATGCTTTTTTTCTGCAGACATCTCTGCAGGAGTTTGAGAGGCAGGCATCAGCTCGTGGCAGCGAGTCCACCGGACATGCCGCCCGTACCCAAGGGCGAGTTGTTGCAGGCGTACTTGGAACGCCATCGGGACTCGGATTACGGTTTCCAGCACGAGTTTGAGCTGCTACCCGATCGATTCACGGACAGAACAACGCGCGCGTCCGAAGCGCAGGAGAATCTCTACAAGAATCGCTATCCGGACATCAAGTGTTACGATCAGACGAGAGTACGTTTGGCACAGATGGACGGTATCTGCGGCTCCGATTACATCAACGCCAACTTCGTGCTGGGCTACAAGGAGCGCAAGAAGTTCATCTGCGCCCAGGGTCCGATGGAGAACACCGTGTGCGACTACTGGCGCATGATCTGGGAGCAGCACCTCGAGCTAATCCTCATGCTGACGAATCTCGAGGAGTACTCGAAGACCAAGTGCGCCAAATACTGGCCGGACAAGCGGGAGACGAAGAACTTCGGCGACATCACGGTGGAGCACGTCAAGGAGCGCGCCTTCTCGGACTACGTGGTGCGCGAGTTGAAGATGACGCGGCTGGGTGAGCGGGACTCGCGCGCGATCGTGCAGTATCACTTCCTCGTGTGGAAGGACTTCGTCGCCCCCGAGCATCCGCATGCGATTCTACGTTTCATCAAGCGCGTCAACGAGGCGTACTCGCTCGAGAAGGGCCCGATCCTGGTGCACTGCAGCGCCGGTGTGGGCCGCACCGGCACCCTCGTGGCACTCGACTCGCTGCTGCAGCAGCTGGCCGAGGAGAGCCAGGTGTCCATCTTCAACACCGTATGCGATCTGCGGCATCAGCGCAACTTCCTCGTGCAATCGCTCAAGCAATACATCTTCATCTATCGCGCGCTCATGGAGATGGCGCAATACGGCGACACGGAGATCCCGGCACCGCAGCTCAAGACCACGGCCGCCAAGCTGAGACAGCGGGACAACGGGAAGGAGAAGTGCAGGATGGAGGAAGAGTATGATGTAAGTTATGTAGACTAGAATTGAAAAAATAGTTCTTTTTCTTTTGTCATTTAATTTCATCTTCATTTGAGATCTACAAATTAAAGTATCATATATATGTCAAAAATTCTACAAATATCGTTCGTTATAAAATTATTTATTGTTACTTTATCAGTTCGTCCCGAATTTTATTTTTAAATCTCCTTTGAATTTTTTTCGATCGGCGCGTTCTATTTGTGTATTGGATAGGAACGAATTACTCGCGAAAAAGTCCATACATTTTGAACAATCGATATCCAATAAAGTATTATAAAATCGACGAAAAATAGATGATATTCGATGAAAAAATTACATGCTTTTTCTCCAACAACTTCATTGAGAGACACGAACGTTCGTCTCTCACATTTACGTAATAACTTATAATTTTTGTTTATAGAAAATCAGTTCCGTATTGGAAGATAGGAAATCCTTCTCTGTTGGCGGCGGAGATGAAAATAGATCAAAGAATAGAAGCGAACTGGTGATACCGTATGATAGAAATCGCGTGATACTCACGCCAGTTCCGGGAAGGGAACATTCGACGTACATAAACGCATCGTTCATCGAGGGCTATGATAATTCCGAGTCTTTTGTCATTACGCAAGATCCACTGGACACCACCATAACGGATTTCTGGCGAATGATCTCGGAACAATGCATCTCTACGATAGTTATGTTATCTGACGTAAGTATATTTTTTTGTGTGTATATTTTTTTTTATTTTTCTCTTTATTTCTTATTTTGTTGCAATAAAGAATATTGGTTTTGTTTGATTTGTTTAACTTTTTGCAAAAAAAGAGATAACTGTATGAATATTGCGTTAACATAATATACATGGTATGCAATTTCATACAAAAAATTTTTGGCGAAACTTTTTTTTTTAAACATCTTGCTTTGTGTATATAAAATCTTGTGTATAAAAAATTATGTATATTCCAATATAATTTAATTACTACAATAATACGTTAACGATGTTAATTTCTTATATATATATATATATATATATAAGCACATATATGAGATTATTTTATAATGAAATAAAGTACATAAAATTTTATATAATCTGTAATATAAATTCTATATCGGGTGAAAGAAGTGTCAGAGTCCCCGATCTTAATAATAAGAAATAAGCGTACTTTTAGAAAGAAGGCATGAGTTAGGCATCAAAATAAATGTTGTAATTGCGTATAAAACAAATAATATCTTTTCCAGTCGAACGAAGGCCCACGGAAATGTCCACGCTATTGGCCGGACGATGAGACCGATTACGATCATATAAGAGTCCGTTATATCCATAGCGAGAGTTGTCCGTACTACACGCGTCGCGAGTTTTGCGTTTTGAATACGAAGACTGACGAGACCGGGGTCGTGAAGCAGTATCAGTATCACGGCTGGCCAACGGTGGAGGGTGAAGTACCTGAGGTGACGCGCGGTCTCATCGAGCTAGTGGATCAGACGCTGACGAACGACTCCGAGACGAGCGGTTCGCTGGTCGTGCACTGCAGCTACGGATCAGATCGGAGTTCCATGTTCGTGGCGCTTAGCATACTGGTCCAACAGTTACGCACTGAGAAACGCGTAGATATTTTCACAACGACGAAAAAGTTGCGCTCTCAACGACACGGCATGATCAGCACCTTCGTAAGTATTTTCATAATTTTCCTCATATTTGGTCGTATTGTCATTAAGGATTTTGTATTTTCTATGAATTTTGACAGGAAAAGTTGAATATTCTATTTTAAAAAATTAACAATTTTAACTCTGGGTCACTTTATCGAGGTACAACGTACTCAATGCAGTTTAGTAATTTCTGAAATTACATTTTTTTAAATCATTAAGGTAAACGTACCAGTGACTGAACATGTATCTATATCTGAACACGTACACAAAATTTATTAATCTCAAATGCTTTTTTTATTATATATATAATTTAATTGTTAAAATTTAATTGTTAAAATATTTAAAGATTACAATTAAATTATAATATTACGAAGAAAAGCATTTAAAAATGAGTTTTTGTGCTTGTTTTGTGTACTTGTTCAGCTATAGATACACGTTCAGTCACTGGTACGTTTACCTTACTTGAATATATTACTGAAATATTTTTTATTTGATTCTTTTTCTGTCTTTGTTAAACTCTGAGGTAGCGTGTTGACAGGGTTGTTACAGATATGGAAAATCGGGAAAAGTTAGGGAAATTTAAACTAGTCAGGGAAAGATATAAAAGAGCCTGAAATTTTAAACTTTACTTCTTAAAAGGGATCCACCCCGATTCTGTAACTCTTAACGATAGTTCAGTATCGTTATATTGCTTTTTTTATTTGAAAATTCTTTTCCAGAATTAAACAATAGAAAATAAGAGAATAAAATAATTTTGTATAAAAATCGAAAAAATTTTCGAAAATTACAATTTTATTCGAGACTTCTCTCTGTTATCGCAATCGGAAATTCGGAATATTTAACAATATTAAAGAAATATCTACAGGAATCTTTCTGCTTTTATCACTGTCAATGAGTTTTTATCCCCCAACAGAAAATTCAGTTATACCAAAGGAATTTTTTTTGTAGTTTAATGCATAACATCGAAGCAATGTCAAAGATGTTAATAATTTGTTGGCCTGAATTTGCATTTGGGATTATGTTATTAAACTTCTAAATTTATGTTGCTTCTAATAATATAAGTTACTTTTCTTGTAATATATATCTTTTAAATATTAAAATTTAGAATTATATATTTGATACTGATCATGAAAAAGTTTTCTACTGTCGTCTGGAAATCGGAAAAGTCAGGGAATTTCAAAATTCATTTTCTATGGCAGCCCTGATTGAGCTAAAAAATATGCTTTTAGTTCAGAAATACAGCAACAAAATTACAAACCCCAGTGGCGGGGAAGGTAACCAAAAATAACAATGGTGACCTAGGATTAACATAATGCAAAATTGATACAAGTATTATATGTCTATATTTTTCATTCTCCATCATTTAACTTTTTTTTCAAAGATCACAACTCTTTATAATGAAATAATAAATTACAAGTCTGAGTATTATATTTAAATATCATGTATTATATTTATTGCATCACATATCGTATTCTGATTGTATTTTATATAATTTTTGTGCGTGTTGCAGGCGCAATATGAGTTTCTTCATCGTGCCATCGTGAATTACTCGGATCTTCACAATTTGGCCGATGACGAAGCGGCGTCATAATACTTGAAGACTAGCCAGAGTGAGACTAGCTTGTTCTAAATCATTTGGGCGGACATGTGCGTGAGAAAGTTCCGTGACGGTGTCCGTGGATCCACTAACGTTCAAAACAAGCGTGCATCGCCCTAACCAAAGATGAATAAACATCGACAAAGGATCATTGATGTCATCGTCATCATTACTATCATCATCGTCATCATCTCGACAAGCGGATCGCAACACACAGCGCGGATCTAGAGACTACTTGTACATAATATCTCTGCAAATTTTACATGTGCTGACTATAAGTTAAGTGCGGAAGAGGAGCATTAAACTGAGAGATTAACTAGATATCGGACTCACCGTGGTATTAAGTGGCTCCTCGACGTCGTTGGTGAGAGAGCCGCAGAGTGCAGTGCGTGACGGCGTCACGAAACTCGTTACAGATGCTTATTTTTATCGGGTAATCTTTAACGATTTAGCCAGAGAGCGATAATGTATCCACAGTGTGACAAAGTTTTTTGATACCGAAATCCGACGTTGAGCAGATAGGGATGCTCTTCGGTCGGTATCCTCCATGGTGGCTGTACAGCGAAGGATTGAGACGCGCAGGAAGGGACGGATGTAACTTGTATAGGTATGAACAATTCATTCTTCTGCCAAGTATATGAGACGCGGTCTGTAACTCTGAACCGCATCGCTCTTGCAATTGAAGCTATAGATAACTCGAGGAAAACTCGACATCATGATTATTCGCACAATTCGTGAACCGATCGCGGAAACTTCTCCGGTGGTTCTCGTTAACATGTATTATCCCGGCGTTTGCAAAATGAAGACGTGCTAATAGGCGATTATCTTCATTTGCGAAAGGACCTTCGGAAGGAGGCGTTTTCTGCAACGACGCGAGACATCGCTACTTCGCGATCTGTAATGATAATAGCGATTGTGCGCGCGTTGTGCGTATATATTTATACGTTCTTCAACAATGTATGCGTTCTTACGATGTATATCACTAAGGTACTATAAGATATAGGTATTCCTATCCGTCATCTTGGTTCCAATCGGTTAAATAGTTACTTTCCATTTTCACATAAATGATACTGAATCTAAAGTTATGTGAGTATTTTTATACTCAGATAATGATGTTATTACTTGTTTACTTTGATAGAAAGTTATTGAGCGTAAAAGTATACGTTTATACCTTACTTTTAATGTGAGTTAATAGACTCGGTAAAGCATACGATTTCGAGCTTTATGCAGATTATAAGTAAAAACTCAGTTGAATCTTACTTATTAGAATAAAAAGGAACGTACATTCAACTGAGTTATAACGTTACAAATGAGAATTATCTGAGTTTTGGTGTAAAT